CTATTGAAATTTAGAAAGAAAAAGTAAATAAATGTGTTAAAACAATTATTATTTAAATATATATGAAAAGATTAAAAATGATTTTATAGTAGAATAATACACTAACGTTTGCACGTATTTATTTATAATTATTTTCAGGACAAGTTATAAAAATATAACGAGAAGAAAAAAATGTGAAAGAAGTTATAAAAGAATATTTAAAAATAGTAAAAAAGGCGCGAAGAAGAGCGAATTTCGTCCGCCAGTGGTCAGCACCATCCGCGTGCAGCCACATCCGTCCATCGATACGGAGCTGCATGTCGAACAATGTCTCCTCCAAATAGAGCTACCATCCTAATAGTCGGCCTTACCCGACTAACTCTTCATCCAAAGTCATATCTTACACCTTAATGCCGATATTAATAACAATATCTTTTACTATAAAAGTCACATAAGTCGACCGTCTACGGCCACACCAATGAAGTTGTCACAGCGGTTAATCAAGCGCACCACAAGTGGCGACGGTCGTTTTTTTACTTGTCTGGGTTGGTTTTTTTCGTGTCTGCACAACGGATGCGTTGAAGATTGAGACGACCGAGACGCTTTTACCCAGTGTCAAATGGCTCGACTAGATGTTGCTACCTAGCTCCGAATGGTTATGATAAAAGATCGTGTTTATTAACTACCCTATACAAATCCGGCTGTTTGCGAAGAGAATGGATGAGATGTTAGAATTCACGTTTGTCCGTCTCATACTTTCCTGTCCGTCTGTGTTTGGTTGAGTGTTGCTGCCACCATGGCTGAATACAGAAGGTAGGGGCCACGCGCATATTGAACTTCCCCTGTCTAGACGTGGAGTAGGGAAACCCCCCTTTAAGACCCGGTGTGATACTAACCGTCTCTTCTTTTTACTCGTTTTCTCCCTTCCTTTTCCGATTTTTTTATATGTTTTGTAAACTGTCTGGCTCATGTCTGCACTCGTTTTGACTGTCTCATTCACTTTTTTTTTTTCTTTCTCTGTCAGTCGTTGCCAGTGTTTTATCTCTTTTAACTCCTATCATTCTCTTATTTAATCTTATCTAATCGAACTTTTTTTAATATTGCCTAGATATATAGATTTTCTTACTTTTTTAATATTTATTTAAAAATTGATTTTTGTGTGAATGACACTTAAAAACTGTTAAGTAATTTTTCTTAGAAAATTTTAACATTTGCTATCTCATAATTTTAATGTATATATATTTATATTTATTTAAAAATAAACCAATATATTTTTTTTAATTTTCAATAAACTTTTATATGAAG